CAATACTTTCACTATGTCATGAAACATTTTTGCATTAAGGTAGAAGCCCGGTTATATTTTGTTTGTGAATGGCAGTTTTTTGTTTTTTTGATCAGTATCAGAATAACCGTTAGTGAAGATATTACACCATATGTAAAATTGTTGGAGGATGATAAGGTAAAAAAACTATAAATTATAACTGATGGTGTATTTTATGTTATCCTGAATTAATTCAAAAATCTTGGGAAAAAATCTGTTTTGTTTAAACATTGCGTTCTTTGGAACTGTTCTAAAAATAGCATTTATGATTAATAGTCGAATGTTGTATCATGTTACTATGAAAGTATATTCCATGATAGTACATAATATAGCAAGAGCATTGTTATGTGATTTATGACCAACCTTTTCAAAAATAATGAGTAGGCTTAATTTTAAGGTGATCCTGGCTTTTGTAATATTACTGTAAAAGTAGTTGGACATACCTCTTGTTGCTGGAAAACATCTGTGTACTTTCCTAACCCAAGTTTACTGAATAAATCGGGCAAGTCAGGCTTAGAAGTAGTATTTGCTGCCATAGACCATAGTCCCTTTGTTGGCGATGGCAGTGAAGTACCATCCATGTAATTACTTGAACTTAAACTGTACTCAGCTAAAAAGTTAAAAAAATAAAGAAAATTGTTAAAATTAAAAAATAGTAAATGTTTTTCATCGAATTGTGATTTATTTAGCAAATGTCAAGATTAAAGTGTTGTTGTTGTGCTGCGCTGTGTTATATTTTCAGGGGCAGACATCCGGGTACTTTAAAAACAAAGAAAAAGATTTGTTATGTTCTGCATTATTGTCTACAAATCCCCAAGCCTTGGCCATTTTGAATTTATAATAAAGTCATTAGCGACATCTTGAATTAGTGAATCAGTTCTCTTGCTAAATTCTCTAAAAAGACATGCTCGCAAAGAAGACATGTTTTACAGTATTCTCACCAACTGGTGACAACAAAAGCCAAAAACTCCCAAGAAACAGTATTTTGGGATAGTTGTTGAGACTGCTGAACATTGTAATAAGACTACCCCATGTATGTGCAACATACTATGAACTATTTTATTTAAGCTGGAATTAATTTTCGCTGAAAAGGCTTTTTGTGTGTTTTGTATGGAATTTGTTTTCACTGATTTTTGATGAGTTGAATGTGAAATATAGGAACAAAAAATGTATTCGCTGGATTTTATGTTCACTGAAGCATCCTTTCAGCGAAAGAAATTCCAAGCAGAAATAAAGTATTCTACAGTATATAAATTTGGATGCTGAGGGTTATACCTCAAAATTGAGTTGTGTGCAGTTTTGTTTTTACTTTAGCTGTTTTCATACATTGCACAGTGGTGTGCGTATAAGCAACATAGAACGTTCTGTGATGTAGCTTTGCCCGAGAATATTTATTGAAACAAAATCTACAACACTGTGCGGAAGTATAGGAAACATCGATGCTGGATTTCATGGTATGAAACCTGTAACATCAAATCATCCCTGACAGTTCACAACCATATACTTACGTCGCTTTTTCCTATGTACAGGATATTCGCCAGGGGCAACTGACGATGACTTTGCCGGCCAACAGCTGCTACTAGTAGGGGGCATCTCGGATTCTTCTGGCAATGTTCCCTGAAAATGAACAAATGAACAGAAAGTGGTTTTATTTATGAAGCAAATGAACGACATCAACACACTCTCTAATGAACCAGAACTAAGTTAGTCATCATTGTACGACAAAAGATGACTCAACACATCGCTTGGCTGACACCATTCATTTCAGCTATTCGTGGAGGCGTTCAACAGGTATTAAAGGGAGTGGTCGTCGCGTTGCGCATGTGCGACATTTGTATTGATAAACATTGATTTTCCCACAATCCAATGCATTCTATCTTCAAATGGAAATCGCAAGTATGAGTTTTGACCTGCACAAATTACCGTTGGTGACTCCTTCGATATCTTCCACCCCAAAAAATACCTAATTAAAGCTCGGTAACATCTCAGTTTTTACTCATTGAAGAGGTATGTATGGGGGTCTAAAAACTAACTCTGCGACGTGATTGTGCGACTCGCCGAATGTTGATTATTGTACTCTGTGACAGGATTGCAGTGTCACTCTGCAAAGAGCACAATTCCCATTGGTTGGTTGGTCGAAAAGTGCGAATCTCAATAGTCGATCGATGCGTACCCTACACAGCATGCCTTATAGAAATGTTCAGTTTTAAATGGTTATCTCGCCGACTACTCGCGAACTATGGTATACAAGTATTTACTGACGACATGCCGCACAGTTTGGTAATCAGCAAGTATTTAACATTGATTTATTAACATATATAACATTGATTTATTAACATATATAACATCTACTTTAAAGCGAGTAGAGCGCGAAGTACGTTTCACACGATGTTACATTCTTTTTTTTTCATTAGCAAATATAATTTGTTATGACTATATTCATCACTTTGAATTCCCAAATAAAGCATGTTGCGAGTCAAACTGTTTCTAGGCAATCAATATCGTTTTATTAAGAATATTAAGAGAGAAAAAACGTAAAGCTGTGTCAATGGATAGAAACTACTGCTGAAGAAAGAAAACTAAAACGGCAGTGTCAACGGAAAATTAGATGGGTGCACGCTCTCTGCATAAATGGAAACGATGGCTTTGTTTATTTGGCCGATGTCGACGAGCAACAGATTTCCTGTACTCACTTCCTCAGTCTCACGTATCGGTGTCGTCATCGGTTAAGTAGTTGAAACTCTTTCGCGTTGATGCGAATATTTCAGCCTAATCGTCCCTTTCAAACCACTCGCGTCGCAGAGTTAGTTTTTAGATCCCCCATACATACATGCATTGAACTGCGCAACAGCCAAAGTCACCTTCTTTGTTTATATGAGACCCATATCTCGTGCATGCGTGGCGCGACGACCACTGCCCTTTGAACAACACTGACATTGCTGAAGACAACAACTTGAGGCTCACCTGGTACGTTGAGTCCAAAGTACTCCCACCATAAGGATGTTTTATATTATTTTTTTTTCGTATTTCTCGTATCATGGCTTCTGGCATTGACTTTGAGAATCCCATCCCGCTCCACATATCCGTAGGCGTTCTCACTTCCGACACCATCGGCCTTTTTTGCATTGCTACAAATAAACAATAAATGTAATACAAAATGTTTATATTGATACATGACATCTTTCATGTCGCATTAATCACCAATTTCTAAACTATAAAGACCTATTAGACTTTATTTACCTTTTGTAGCCATTAGTTTTTTGTATTCGTAATCAAATGACATTGGTAACTGTCCAGCCATAAAGTTGCGCTCCAATTCTCGTTGCTCTCGCTCTCGTTCACTCCATTCAGCTCCCGGCGCTTTCTTATCTGAACAGTCACTGTCTCCTGATTCAGAAGACCTTCTATCACCATGGCTACAAGAAAATAAGTAATATTAATTTCCAGTCATAATTATTCTGACATACTTTACCGGTAAATACATTTCCATAGAATATACGCCAAATTTTTTTAACTATCACTATTTTCATGATTTGACATATAGGAATATTGGAAAAGTCACTGTGACTCCCTAGGACCTCAGTGAAAGGAATATTTAGAAAGTCACTTTGACTCCCTAGGACCTCAGTGAAAATCACCATGACTGATCGCCCAGACCCAACCTATCAAAGTTGTAAGAAATCACACAGTTTAAAAAGAATCTTGATTATACAACATATTACTTAGAGAGCTGCCTGCCCTTAAACTTATCAACCCTTAGTTATATTCACCCAATTTCACTACACAGTACTCACTGTAAGGGAATATTTCTAGCTCCAGCCAGCAGAGCAACAATCTGTTTTTTGGAAGTCGGAGGACTGGTGGTGACACCAAGGACGGAGTTGAGATCAGTCATAGCATTGCTACTGCTGTTACCACTACTGTGTAAAGACTGGTTATTATAACTGCTAGGGATCAGAACATCTACGTATCCACATCCAGATTTCATCGTGCATATATCAACTGAAATAGAAGAAAATGACAAAAATATTCACAAAAAATAGATAATTGAAGATATCACCAGGAAATGAACAAATCTGAGAGAGGTCCACATGTAGTACCTTTATATGTAATATCAAAGCAATTGGACTTGTGGTTTTTAACAAGAAGTCGAAAATATCACTTTTTACCAAAAATGACAAAAATATTCACTAAAATTAGAGAATTGAAGATATCATCATGAAATGAACAAATCTGAGAGAGGTCCACATTTAGTACCTATATATGTAATATCAAAGCAATTCGAAGAAGTCGAAAAAGTAAAACATTGACACGAACGACGGACTACAACGGACAATCACTCATATGATAAGCTACACTCGACAAAGTCGACAGCGGAGCTAAAAATAGGATGAGTTTACTGATAGTTAAACTCGACTACGAGGACGCTAGTTATGACAACTTGTTTGGGGTTGAGATTCTAGTAAATGTTTTATTGACACATATTTTTAAATTGCTGTCATTTTACAAGGGTATTTTACAAGGAGGGGGCATATAATAAACAGCAAATAAAGATGAAAAACAGCTGTTATTCTATCACTTTAAAATAATTGGGTATTAGCAGACGAGATGTTAATAATGAAAATATTTTTTTCTATCACACCTTGTAATAGATATGCATGACAAAAAATAATTTTCAAAAAAGATTACTGATAACAAATGCATAGTATTATAGAAATATTTTGAATAAAGATAATAAAGTGCAGCTTTAGATGACGAAACAACTCACCATTATTATTAACAGGAGGATTCAGCCGTACATTCGTGGGAGGACTTGAAGAAGGACTTCGGCTGGGACTGCTTCCATTACTTTGGTTGCTGCTTGCACCTGAAAACAACAAATACAATTAAACAACATACACTTCCAAGTATACCACAGGTATTACCCTTTAGGTTTCTACTTTGAGAAGTTGTAATCTGATTTGATAGGTTAAAAGTTCCCGTGTGATTATTGCATCATGTGACTTACTTCCATATAAGGAATCTGATACTCTGATTTGATAGGTTAAAAGTTCCCATGTGATTATTGCATCATGTGATTACTTCCATATAAGGAATCTGATACTCTGATTTGATAGGTTAAAAGTTCCCATGTGATTATTGCATCATGTGACTTACTTCCATATAAGGAATCTGATACTTACCCACATCTGGTGTAGGCACACGATCAAAGGCACTCTGGGAGTTAAAATAAGATGAATCACTAGACTGATGACTACTTGAGGATTGCTTGAAAGCTTCTGTGAGTTGAGAAAGTTGTGTAAGTTGTTGAATGTTGTCTAGGGGGGTTAGCCCTGGAGGAGGAGATGGGGTAGGGTATGAAGTTGGTCCCGGTGCTAGGAGTACTGGGTTGAGCGGCTGTGTAACAAATATCGGTGTCACTGGATAACCTACAAATACATTACAAAAACCCACAGTTAATGATACAGATGTGAAGTTTAGTGTGAAACAACATTTTTGAAATTGTATGGTAAACATCATATGTTCACAACAGTCGGAACTGCAAATGCACCACATTCAATGCTTAAAGCAAGGGGATGTCACCGCCGCATACCTGCACAGGAATTAAGTCCTAAGCAACAATAACAACACTTCAAAAACTGCAAATGCTCATGTGTAGATCCTTATTTTTAAACAACGATATGCTATGATTGTCTGTCGCATGTGATGACTCCCTCGCTCAGGACTACTTATAGCATGTGACTCAAAAAGTAATTAATTTTTTCTGCATGTTTTAGTAAATTTGAGTTACTACTTGGTCATAATGTTGATTGACATGCAACAAACATAATGACTGAAGCTTGAAGTAGCAGAATCACATGGACTAAACCATTATATATGTAGGGGACTCACCTGTTGGTGCATTTGGTGATGATGGCTGCCAATGATTAGGACTTGATGTACCTGAGTTTTGTGGACTTTGTAGCGGACTTATATGTCCATTTATACCAAGAATACTTGGGGTGGTATTTACGTTGAGTGCGCTTCCACCAAATAAACCTAGAAAAATGACAAAAATGATTATTAGGAAACTTTATAGACAGTTAAATTTCAAGAAGCCAAGTTGAGCAGTTTTGTAAAATTGCAAAACGTTATTTATCCCAATTACAAATTAATCAGAGATTTATAGAGTCAGCTCTCAATGGTAAGTTCCTTTCCACTGCTTGAGAGATGATTTTTTTAAAAATTGGAGTTTGTCTTCTATTTTGGCTTAAAGTTAACATGGCAACCATCACAATCAACATATTTGGAAAGCAACATTCACTGTATAAAAACATTTTTTTCCCATTTCATTTTTCCATTTTCCAAATCATTAATATACTTCAATAGAGAATAAATCCATTATGTTCAATAAGCATCTTTTTACTTACATCTGTGAGTGTGTGTGTGTGTATTTTTCTCTATAATTTTTTCTGTGTCTAAAAACATTGTTAAATTTGAAATCATTTTACCTAAACTGTTGAGACTGTTGAGTCCCAGTCCAGATGTAAGACTATCACTAATACTGATAGCAGGAGCTGTGGATGTCGATGATAATGGTGATGACGATGACGATACTAACAAAGATGAAATTGGCATTTCTGTGTCCATTCCAAGTAATATCTGCCTTGCTCTGTACATATTTCCTGCATTCCTCTCAACACTTTTCACAATGACTGACTATAAAACAAAGTGAATATCACTTGTGTTATTTATGATTACTGTAAACATTTAACTGGTTCAAAATCACTTGTATTGATTTGAATACCATTATGAACTCAACTGGTGGGCACTATAGAATCCACTCATCACCCAATACTTTCATAATTAGTATTATAATTATTTGCATAATTTACATTATCGGTAATCAGTATGGCTTCTAACTGGCCATCTACACAATTAAAATATCATGTGACTTGAAATACGCCAAACACAAAAGCGCTTGAAGATCATGTGACAGTTTTAGCCAATCTATTTGGAAGTTAAGAACAGTCTACAGATGGATTCATATGGTCCAGTAACCAGGCATAATAATGTAAAGAACCTATGATTAGTTTATTGTATATATGACACTAGTGTGTATTATCATTATGGCTTACCTTACTTGGTTGTTTTGGTTTTGGTTTAATGCTAATAAAAACATCCAACTGCTCCATGAGTTGGGTTATTTTTTGTTGATCGATATCAACGTCTTCTTTCATATCAAACATCAAAACTAGTGGTAAACAACCCTAAATGAAAAGTAAATAAAAATACAAACATTAAAACGAAAAACAACAAGTATGAAAAATATAGAAAACAGTTGTAAAGAAATATTTGCAAGCCTTCAATCATGACCATTCTGTCTTAGTATCAACCACCAAAAATTTAACTGTGCCACTTTCAGTTGCACTGTGATGGAAGGTTACTCATCTTCGCTAGCCAAGATCTAAGTTTATTCGGCCAAGCTTCTAAACAGACATTGGCAGAACGACCATCAAATATGCGTATTCTAACAGCACCCCCAGTAGTCAGTTGCGGCTAATCATTGTCCAATTAGTTTGCGTGTTACAAATCCCTCTTTGGCGTTTCATTTTAAACAAAATGGCGGTGCCCATGAATCGTGATATTTGTGATGATAAAATTGCGAAAGTTTTCGGTATTGGTGCCCTCAAGTCTCATCAGGTACAGGCAATCAACGCAGTTTTGTGTGGGAAAGATGTCTTCATAGCGACAAAAACGTGGAATTTTTTTTTAATTTGGTACGTTCAAGCTGATTGGGCGCCTTGTTTCAAGGCGCGCCCAATCAGATCTCACTGCTTAAGATACGCAATTAGCCTATGCGATCCCGCACGGTATCGTGTAGAGGCCTATAGGTCAAAGACACGGGACCCTGCGATTCGGACGATGAGGTTACCAGGAAGACCTACATGTAGTTTGTTTGTTTGTTGTTTATTTTATTACTGTATAAGCACTAAATTTGCACATTAAAAGCACACTGCCTTTAGAAGTGCACTCAAGCCTTAAAATGCATTTACTGTATACTGAAATATACTGTAAAATACTTTATTTTCGCTTGGGATTAATTTTTGCTATTTTCGCTGAAGGAAAGATTCAGTGAAAATAAAATCCAGTGAATATACCTTTTTTCCTATATTTTACATCCAAATTCTCAAAAATCAGTGAAAATAAATGCCATACAAAACACCCAAAATGTCTTTGCAGAGAAAATTAATTCCAGCTAAAATAAACTATTTTACAGTAACTTATTTTGTCCATAGACACACCTCTGTCTCTTATGCAAGCACATGTACTACTAAGAGAGCAAGGAATGTACTGCTCTCTATTCCAGTCTAGTACTGGCAAGTAAAGCAAACACACTGAAATGAAACAAAGCACGACTTACTATTAAAAAATCTCTTGCTAGTAGAACTGAATCAATACTACCAGAAATAAACACAGTACTCTTTCTGGGTGAACTATTTGGATCTGGAAAATGAACGCTAGCCCCTGTCTGTTGCATCAACTGTTTAATATTCACACCACTTCGACCAATCATGAACAAGTGATGCTGAGGAGCAATTTCTAGCTGCATACTCACAGGAACAGTTGTCTGAAATGAACACAGTATGTTAGTACAATCATCTGGCATGTAGCAATGATAAGTATTTGCAGGTAATTGTGCATCCGAAAGCAAAAATATACAAGTGTACATGTACTCTATAATACTAAGAATCGCAAACCAACAAAGTATAATTTAGACCCATCAGACATGAACATGGAAACATGCTCTGCAATTATGACACCTTCCAATTCATAGAATGTCTATATGCACCTGACATCATCAAAACATATTCTTCTTGGAGAATAGTATGAGAGACGGTTGTACAAAGTTTATAAGGAACATGTAACAGTGGACACAAGCTCTGGTTGAAAGTGAGATGGCCATGAGACTTGTTTATACCCCACAAATGGCGTTCCATTTTCGCATCAACTGTTCCCCTGATTATGTATTCATATTATTTTGTGTTGATTGAAGCAAATGGAAGATGGATGATGTAAAACAAGTCTTATATTTATCTTTGCTCAAAATGAGATCTTGGCAGAGCTTTGTGTCTTTTTTGACACATTAAATCTGGTAATAATTAACCAGGCTCGGTCGAACACAAACCCCTGCAGACCTTAACCAAGGTTCCACCAAAGTCGCATTCGTTAGTGAATGAATACCGGACAGAGAAATTGGCCTTCCCATTGAGTCTGTGGCACACTCACCCAAGGTAGATTTGATCCTTTTTGATGTTCAGCCTAAAGAAGGATTTGAACTTGGGTCTACCAATAATGAGCCTGATGCAACAACCACTATGCTACCAGTGACCGGTTATTATTAATTAATATTATCTCTGATATGATATTCTTACCCCAACATTGCCCGTGAGATGCTCTATAAGTCTCGCTGTGGCTTCTTTCAGTGCTACAAGGTTATCCACGCAACCTCGGACGATGGCAGTTGTTATGTACATTCTGGGTCGTTGTTTAAAGGAGACAGACACATTATATGTTTGCACAATTTGTTGTATAGTGGGAGCGTTGATATCTGGAACGGGTTGCAAGGCACCAGTAATCGGCAATTCAAACATAACTGTGAGCGGTAAAAGTTCCTGTAGCGAGAAACATCGTAGCATGTATCAGTATATTTTGCTTTTGTAATAATGTTTCTGATAGGCTGATACATTTTAAAGTGGCCAATAAAATAGGTTTTACATTTTACACATTATACTTACCCTTATTTTCCTTCTAGCATGTTCAACACCTTCTGGCTGTCCTGCTATTGATACCTAAGTGAATAAAAACAAATAAGTTGTGAAAATTATATTTACATAATAAGGAGGCTGCATTATGAACGCTTTGACACCTATCACAAAATAAACTAGTAAATCTGAAGCCAATTTAAAGTTATGTCCATTAGACTCAAAATTAATTAAAATTTTATTAATTTGCAAAATGTTGAGCTAAATTTTGAGAACAAAAATTAAGGCATGCAAAATGTAATATATTTTTTTTAAATCTCAAAAATAAGAATCAGATTTACGGTATCCATCAAGTTTTCACTTTTTAAAAGTTAATTACAAATTACAAAATTATTCTAAAAGACACAATTTTATAGAATGATAAACCCAGGAAACACACAAGGTGCTTTGATGGCAGCCAATCAAAATCAATGTTATTAACTAATTTTAATTCAATTTATGGTAGCCAATGACAATTAAAATTTCCATTACCTGATTACTTTTTTCTGCTTGATTTCCTCTGTTTGAGTCAGGAAAGTGAATATGACATCCTGTGTGTTGCATTACTTTTTTAATATTATTTCCTCCTTTACCGATAACATGTGAGTGATCTGTGTAGGACACGTCCATCTTTAATGTTACCCTGTTGCTCTGAGCAAAGAAATAATAGAAGAAAAAAAGTTAATAGAAAAAACAAAGTAACTCGATAAACCATACACTGAGGGCAGTATTAAAAAAAAAAAAAAAAAGTAGCAGAGCTTCCAATGCAAGGACATTCTTGTTGAAACTATTGAGACATTTTTTCTTGATTCTATTTAAGTTATCTGACTAGTTTTACCATATATGTCAATAATGCTTCATTTGACCATACAGACAAATTTATTTTTGAAAATAATTAATTTGTACCCTGTATTTTTTTTCCAGGAAACTGTCTGATAAAGTACGAAAATGTAAATTTTTTAAATCCTTTGCATAGGAATCCTGGTTAAGGATATATTTAATTAAAAAAAAATCTTGTCAAAATAACAATAATTCGTGGCAACCATAAGATTTCATCTTGTAACTACGTTTACTACATTTTTTCACCATAAACTACTGAACAAGATTTTTTGCGTGAAAAGTAGTTCATCAAAGATTACATAAGTCACTAGAAAATTATTTACAAACCTTTGTGTCTAAAACTGCCATAATTTTCTCTTTTGCCGAAGCAACGTTGCCGATTTTACCCGACACCTTGATATGTGGATCTGTGAAAATAAAAACATTTAACATTTTTTTAGTTTTGTATACCAAAAATAAACTAGAAAAAATTTCATATATAATTTCAAATATTGATATTTTGATTTCAGTCTATTAAAGTCAAATTTTGTCACATTTGACAAATTAAAATTGCAAAATACGTTTTAGGTTTCTCCAAAAAAAATTTCCTACAGCAAATGAAAAATTATGTTTTAAATTATTTATTTTGAAGTTGGCAAAAAATGTGGAAAAATACATAAAAATTTGCAAAATGAAGCATCAAAATTTGGTATTTTTTTTTACATTTTTGTCTATCTTTCTTTTTTTTTAAATATATTTTTGTGCCAGGTGACATTTCCGGACATTGAAGTCACTGCTGTCTCTTCTGCCTTTTTTGCCTTAGGTGCTAATTGTAAGTGCATTTGTGCAAACCAGTCTTTCAAACCTAAGATCTTTTCTTCATGTTTTGGTTGTGTAGATTTAAAACAATATGGAGGAGGCACATAGCACCATGCTGATTTCAGTAGGATACATTTCAACCTAAACTGTTTCTATTACAGATGTAACAAAATAAACTTAAAATACTCAGGCGCTATAAAGCATACCATGAATAACTTGTAATATTTATTTTATCAAAAGATGTAAGTAACCAATTTTGGTCGGTTTAGACACCAAGAATTCTGAAGCTATGCAGGAAACACCATATTTGTACTGCACAGACCCTGAAGGCCCTAAAAAGCATAAGTGAAAGTGCGCCCTCTAGTGACAAACTATAACTATGATTCACAAATTAATTATAGATAACACATCCATCATGTGCACACCCCTTTTTGACAACAGATTGCGATATCAGACAATGATTTAATATTTAGTCCATTTTATTGATACAAGTACAGCAACAAAACCGTCATCATGAGTAACCAAAAGACCCGCTCCATTACTAAAATTAAGATTTGGAATTAAGTTTTCGATTCAATTGGCCGACCTTGACTGATTATTGCACAGTTTCTAAAATTTACATATAAAAGCAGCGAAAATATATTCGTCTGTTTTTCAAACAAGATTCACATTTGTGATGTCTGAAAGGTCCTAGGCAGAACTCTGATTCCCATTGCAGCCATCTTTTAAAGAAGGCAATTCCACAATCACAGACAAAAAATAACCGTCCCATTCATAGATGACAGAATAGTAACCGTCTTAACAGAATCCAGTCAATTACAGTTACAGTGATACACCTATCAAATGGTTAATTAATAGACTGACGATTTATAATATTGTAAATATTTGTAACAAATATTTTTATGACCAGTCAGAACAACCACATGCAAAGAATATCCCATAATATCCTCAACCTTGAACCATTCAATCACAGAATGGGTCCACTCCCAAGCACTCAATCATCACTTGGATTCTTGATTTGAAATTAAAAAACAAAACAAAATACCTTTCAATTCTGTTTTAAAATACATTCTGCATCTAAGTGTTAGCAATTAAATGATAATAATTTTGTTGCCATGGTAATGTAATTATTGATAACATCAACATGTCAGCTATCATGTTTTTATCACAACTTCTAAAGTGATGTCACAGTATGTCTGGTCAGTAGCTGCCAGCAAATATACAGGAAACACTAGAGTAGTACCTGCCAAAATAGTAGCAGAAATTTTCAATGTTTTACGTAAATTTCCAAAGATTTAATTTAATAAGGCATTGCTTAAAAATTTATGTATTTATGCATTTTTTTTATTTTTATTCTGAAATTGTCAAGGAAACATTGCTTTTATTTTACTTTTTTTATGGAAATTGAATTTTTTTTTAATTTTTCGGATGAAAATCTGACAGCACTGTTGTTATAAAAGCTTATGCGACCCAAATTTAAAACGACATGACAAAGCGCAATGAAGCTGTGATGAATACATTTTGAAGTTTCACACACATGATGACAAAAAACATAAATATTTAAAATTTTAACCAATATCTCATCTGAAATGAAGCAGATTCTGAATAGAACTACTTTGTGGAAGGTTACAAAAGTGACAATGTGGTGGTAAAAAGGCTAATCAAACCAAGATATGAAGAACAACCAATCAAAACTACAGAAATATGAGAGCTGTCATTTGATTGATCACATTCAGCATAACATTCTGATTTCAACTCAGAATAGAAAGGAATTACAACCATAGCAAAGTATTTTCTAAAGCCTGCCTAAGAAAAACACTGACCTATATTCTACCTAAGTATTTATTATGAAAGTAAACTTACACAAAGCTAAGCTTTCAGTAAGTGGTAAACAAAGCAGTAAAATGGCCATATTATTACTTTTAGAGGATATTTGTTTATTTTGAGGGATCATTCATCTAGCTACTCTAGTACTTTAGGTGCCGATATGGTTTCGCTGCAGTAGTTGATACATCAGTTGCATGACTTGTTGTGATCATGCATATAATGAGACCCTCTTATACTGCAGCCCACTCAGTTATATATTCCCACAATGCACTGCACATAATTGGAATTTTCCCACAATGCATCCCTGTCAGAGATTGATCATAGTGTACTCCCATTATGTGGTATACTCCCACAATGCACTTCATTCCCTGTAGTCCCACAATGCACTTTGGTAAGTGGTATACAACCACAATGCACCTCAGTCAGTGATGTATTCCTAGTCACTGGTATACTCCTACAATGCACCTCATTCCCTGCAGTCCCACAATGCACTTTAGTCAGTGGTGCACTACGACAATGCACCACAGCCAGTGGTATACTCCCACAATGTACCTCATTCCCTGTACTCCCACAATGCACCTTAGTCAGTGGTATACTTCTAGTTAGTGGCATAATCTCACAATGACATTCATACATGTAAAGTATTTCAAAGTCTTCTTCAGTATCGAACACAGAACAAAATAAAGACAGGAATTTCCAGCTGAGATGTGTTTTGTTTGTTTGGTGTTAAGATTGTTATTTTAACAAATTCCAATGATGTTTGGTTACAGTTTCCGGAATCACTGAAAACAAAAGATTTCCGGTAACCACATTCTAGAATATTGTCAGCCTTTGTTATCCTCAAAAGAGGTCGGATCCATCCAGTTTGTTTGGTTACGGTTTCCGGAATCACGAAAAAATTAAATATTTCCGGTAACCAAATTCTAGAATATTGTCAGGCTCACATCCATCACATGATTTTCAACTAACAACAGTACTATAGACAACAATCACGCTGCAGGATTACAAAAAACAAGCATAAAGTTGGATCACCGGGTAGCACAGCAGTTGTTGAACCAAAACCATGCTCGACTTAAAAGAGTTGACGATAATACAAACTCAATGGGAAGATCGAATCCAATGGCTGAGAATCTTTCACTAATGGATGAAATTTTAGGGGTATCTTGAATCCTTGCTACAACTGTGATTGTTATACTACTAGCTGTAGATCTTCAAATCTATCAGTCTTACGTTTTGCATTGTTATCCCTAAAATTGTTTAGTAAGGCATTTAAGAAAGCATATACTGTAAAGGGGTTAATTATTCACTGGATTTTAATTTTGCTTATTTCGCTGACTGGAAAATGTGCTAAATTAATTAAAACCCAGTGAATTGTAAAATTTAGCATAGAACACATTATCTAAAAGACAAAACCGTGAATTTAAAACCCACTGAATATGCCTGGAATGGTAAATCAGCAAAATTTAAACCCAGTGAAAATTAGTCATGTTACAGTACTGTTCAAAAATTACTATTGACAGTTGTGAAGACTACTATGAAGTTTTTTTTTATAATCCCTGAAAATTGTTTTCAATTTAATTTTCTGCGTTACCCCATTAACTTGTAATTTTGTGAAAAATATCTTTTACCACAAGAGGGCGCCCACCAATCTTTAGATGGCACTGCACACTTGTTTTGACAGAAAACTGCAATTACCATGGCATTACGTTTACGTCAGTAATCATAATAGCATTAAGTGAAAAAAATAATGTTAATGTGAAGACAAAGAAAGTTACATCATTTTCACGTTCAATTTTCATATACAATAATTTTATTAGGTTTTTGGGAAGAGGTATTGTTTTTCTAACAATTTTTCATCATCATTATGTTGCCCTTAAGAATTATGCATAAAAAAATGGTTGAAAGAAAACTGTAGCTGAGAGCATTAGTCCTCGTTTGGTATTCGATTGCAGTAACCCAGAAAATTAGAAACAATGTTAAAACTTCACCCTTGGTGCGAAAGAAGTCTTTGTGTATTTTGGTGAGTGTTGGTTATGTTTTTTAAGTTTTTAAGAGTACTTGTACAAACAATTCAAGGTCACTAGCACTGTTTTCACTACTTTTTGCTCTATTGTTACCGAACGATTCAACTAAGAGGCGACTGTTTGCCGTGACTGCTTTGTTTATCAGACCGTGCACCTTCATTAAAAGGAAACTTTTCCAGTTTGCTCTCTGAAGTAACCGTCAACAAAACTCAAGCATTGGGGACAAAACCCGCCCCCAATCTGACATGTAATAGGAGCTGCCGGTGTAACGCCTGAAGTTTACTTTTCAATACGAGTCTCTAGAAGTTTAACAAAACACATCCTTCTCACATGACCTAGTACATTTGGAATTCGTTCGAGCTCAATTTGCGGCATGAAGCGTTGAAAGATCCTTGTCAGTGGACTACAAAGTCAAAACATTCTCTGAAGTAACACAAATCAAATATACCATATTCAAAAATGTTGTTATTTGTTACTATAGCTAGGGCAGACATTGCTAATGAACCAAAATAACCTGAAAGAAGTGTTAGTGATTGTGTAATAATCGGCGCTTTGGCTTGACAAGACAGCCCATGCGTATCGGTTACTAATGTCTGATTCATATAGGCGACCCTGATGCATACGACCATGACTGGTTTTAATTCATTACTTCATAAACATCCAGTACCGTTATCCTACAGTAAGTAAAGTACACATATAGCAGCAGCCATGTCTAGCCTCATGGCACTGTTGACAATGTTACTGTAGGCTTTACAACCAGCTAGAATCAAAAGATGGCGTCAACCCCAAATTCCTTGAGGCTGCATTTTGAAGAAAGTTTAGATCATAACACGATCAAGATTGATCGGCAGAATTAATTTATAATCAGCATCAGAATTCCCATCAGCACTGATCAGTAGTTCTCTACATCTACGTCAAATCTTTTTGAGATTACGGCCACCGATATGCAAACTTCTATTCCAAACCTCTACAAATCATTATGCAAATTATTTCTGCAAAAATCCCAAACCAGAAATTATTTCGTAATGACGTACACCGCAGTACATAGGTATTATACAGTTCCAGCTATGCTCAGCTCTTTCCAATATAATCTATTCATTTGGAGAGAATAAAGGGCTTTCCTGTCTGTGTACTCTGCATACAATTAATGGGTGTGTCCCACATTAGAGCCACTGACGTGCACTCTCAGTGTGTTAGTAAATAAAAGCATGATGTCACCCTCAGTCGGCAGGTCACACAAGGCTACCTGTTTCCCCTGCAAGCCACCTAGTAACCCTGATTAATAAGCCAAACCAGATTGTTATGCGGTCAAGAAATAATCCAAAATCACAAGTATTGGTGACTACCGATAACTTCAATTGGAGATAAAAACAGATTTAAAACTATACAAGTACAACTGAGTGGTCACCCTGAGGCTGTGATTAGAATTTAAAGTATCTAAACTTCTCAGTCAGCTGACATCTTAAAGCAGCTCCTTAACGAAGCAGAGCTAAGTACGCAATGGAGTCTACATCTGCTGCTACCAGCCATGGCAATTGACCACTTCACAGGACGCTGAAGAATGAACTGAAGGGGTTCTAACTGTCACATTCAGAAAAAAACTACAACAATGAATATGCTATGGACAAAATTTTGTTCATTTGGGGCAGACGGGACTCATAAGAGAAGCATAGGTCTAACTAAACAAAGAGTATAAACTATTTGTTGTGCAATGATTGACACCCGTCTCGTTATTTATTTTTCTAAATCTACTTTATTAAAAGGAAAGTGGTTATTTAAAGACCATAGACTGTGTTATTACATTCAGTATTGTATACAAATTAGCATTGGTAATGGTATGAATCAACAGTATTAACCAAATTGCTATTTGAGACAAATACTAAACCCTGTCGCTAAGAAACCCAATCAAAACTCATTTCTATATACTTCACACCAGTTATGAATCTCTGCCCATTATTTATATCGCAAGTAAAAATTTAACACTAGCTTGATATGCAAAGATATGCCAATAAAACACATTTTTTTACTCAATTCCAAAATTTGATTATTTTACATTTACAGGATGTGAAATTACTTTTTTGCAATTTTTTTTTAATTCACATTGTTTTTGTTTTTCCCAGTCACCCACAACAAATTCCTTTATCCATCCAGATTACAAAGGGGATAACCTCCTAAACAGCATCAAAAATCTGTTTGGTTAAAATCAGTTGTGAAGAAATAGTTCAAAAATGTGAAAAAAATTTTTTTTAGAGGGGATTGGGTAGAAAATACAACTTTTAGATATTAATGTACATATGAAAGAGTCAGGATGATACATTATTAGATTTCTATTGTGTAGTCGGTAACAATCAATAAACAAACTTTGCTTGAAGTGCAATGAAAAATGAGAAAGAAAATATTTACTAAGTATTGATGATGTACAGAAGAGTATATTACCTCGTTGTGATGTCATCCTTGACTGAGTTCGAGATGTAAAGAATCGGTCCCACCCTATTTCCTTGCAATCATGCAGCGGTGCCCAGATATTACATTCCATGGTTCCCAGCATAATCGGAAATTTATATTAAACAAACAGGCTCTTTAATCAGCGCTAGGAGTAAAATTTATGAGCCCTCTACTGTCAAGCGTTATCATTAAGCTTTCAGCCGAGGAACCAGCGCGTTATAATGTGTGGGGGTGAATAAACCTGTTATGCTACAACTACGTAGGATCCTGGGAAATAACAACAGAGCCTTTGCCACAGGTGGTGAAGCATTCAGTGAAATGGAGTCAATTAAAGATTGTCAACGTCATCTAACAATGAAAATATATTTCCATATAAATGACCGATTGCACAGGAAGTGGTACGAGAAGTGGTCGGACAATGGTACACACTATTTGGTAAATCGAGTGAATACAGATATCAAGGAGATAAAACTCAAAAACAATAACTTGATATTCATAACACATAGTTTCAGTTCGTTTAGCAAATATCTAAAATACCGACTATTATAAAACTGCTCGGAGCTAGCTTCCTGCTGTCAAACTTGATTCATATCACAGTGCAGTAAATGGTTCACCTGGGAAAAATAAATACGTCAAAATTCTAATATTACTAGCAGTCTTTCTCGCTAAAGTTGCAGGGAACAAAAGTATTCAAATCTGAGATTTTAAGTGAATGACTTATTTTGGCTACAGTACTTGAGTTGATTGACCTGAGTTGTGATTTGTGGTGACATTCCTAAAATCCAAAAGATGGGAACAGGCAAGGCAGGAAATGGGTCAAAATTTACCTGACAAAAAGTGGATCGGAACATAAAAGCAAATAAACTTTGTATAGACTGTAAAATCCAACAACGAGATCACTTTACACACAAGCAAAAATTCGAAAAATTGAAATTCCAGACACACAGTAAAAACATTTTTTTAAAGATGACAAGCGTTGCCTCGAAATCGCTTTTAGAAAATCAACAATACATCATGTGTACACAATGCGTGAAATTTATCAAAAGCAATTGTTGTTGTTTTTACATGTACACGACCAGCAAATTAAAAGTCATTCAATCATTTGTGATCATTTTGAAGTAAAAAAAACATTGAAAAAATAGCTAAAACTGAAATATAATATCAATATACAACCCTTTTCCCGCCAAAGTTTGTGTGCATCATTTAACACATTTTTATGTATTTTTCTACATTATATTTGATAATTTTGATTCTAATGGACTTAATTTCTAATTAGCTACAGAGATTGATCAAAATATTTTTAAAAATCTGGAAAAAATTATACAAGTTCAAATATTGGGAAGAAAGACAAAAAGTTGACTCTAGTGTTCAAAGAGTAAACATTTATTCATGCAATGGAGCATACGTGTAGAATGCAACACAATTCGATTGTCTGCTCTGTTTTCATTCGTTTTTCGTCATCTATACATTCTACAAGAGTGAGTTATTAGCGGTAACGGATACTCAATACCGACAATATGAATACATTGCTTGTAACCATGGGAATAGTATAGCATCAAGCTTTTGATAGTTTCCATAGCAACCAACCACAATCGCATATGCAGTGAATAAGAGTGAGTGATACACCACATCGGGAATAATTGATCTCGGAGAGAGAGAGTTCAAATATAGCTTAACTATAAACATCGAAGCATGTATAAATGATACATTGCTTTGTTTACTGATTACTTACATGACGATGATTCCATGTTACATTTTTTTGAAACTAGCAGTTTAATTAAAGATTTAAAGCAGACAATAATTTGTTTCTCAGAAACATGAATGTCTTATCTTGATTTCTGAAAATTGTTGGGTTTTTGTATTTTATGCCTTTCCACACAAAAGTCAACTTTAGTCCCCCTTCAGAAAAAAACCATATCAATTTTTTTTTTTAAAAAAAAAACATTTTGATCAATACATAAACCAAATAGAAAAATATGTCAGTTTGATCCAAAATAAATAATGAATTATAGAAAAATTTATGAAAATATGCAAAATGTAGCACAAACATTTTGGAGAATAAAATCATGGTGCATAAAGGATTAATAAACGCAAGTGCATAATATTTTGTTATAATAGTGATCATTTGTGGAGAATGAATTTTTGAATAAAAAACTCTCATAATGGTTGAGATACCTCTATAATGATAGAGTTATTGATACATGATAGTGGAGTTATCCTCAGATAATGGTGGAATAATTCCCAAAAAATGATAGAAATGGTGGAAATATCCCTACAAATTGGTGGAATTATCCCCAAATAATGGTAGTTTTCCTTACATAATGATGGAGTTATTTCACATAATGGTACAATTTTCTTCCCATAATGGTAGAGTTATCCTCACATAATAGTAGAGTTATACATGTAGCCACATAATAGTAGAGTTATTCTCGCATAATGGTAGAGTTATCCAAACATAATAGTAGAGTTATACATGTAGCCACATAATAGTAGAGTTATTCTCGCATAATGGTAGAGTTATCCAAACATAATGGTGGAGTTACCCCTACATAATGGTGGAGTTACCCCTACATAATGGTGGAGTTACCCCCACATAACTGTAGATTTATCCTCCATAATGGTGGAGTTATCCCTAGATAATAACCCCAAGTGCACATTTAGCAAGTAAGACAGTCAGATAACAATTTCCTTTCACAGCAAAATTCCCAATTTTTAATTTACTGTTAAAAGCAGCTACAGTTAGAGAATATAAAGCGGCAATGGTGAAATGATCAAAGGTTTAATTTAAAATGATCTTTGCCACAACTCTGACATAGAGAATAGGATACCATTTGAATTACTTGATGAGTTGAAAAGTGCATTTAGTGTTGCACGGACATGGACAATCATCTTAGCAACCATGAAATCAGTCAACTAAACTGCGAAAAATATGGCATGGGTATGGTTCATAAGTAAGTCATATTTGTACTGTATGCATTAGCTGTGGTCGTTTTTTATTTGTATATGTATTGCCTGCGCTTATCAAAATTATTTTTTGCTATCTGAGGCTATTGCTGAGCAGAATATGTTCAACTGACAATTGGATTCAAGCAGGATTTACATCACATGGTATCATGCATTACTATGAGAAATGTATGCCCTTGTCTATTATCCGTCTTTGATTACTGTTAAGGGACGGTACCCTACATAAATATGGCATAAAAGATTAATATGAATGAATCTTTGAATAAAAACTCATAATGTTTAAACTATAACTACATAATGATGGAGTTATCCATACATGATGGTGGGGGTTATCTTCAGATAATGGTGGAATAATCCACACAAAATGGAGTTATCCCCACATGATGATGAAAATATTCCTACATATTGGTGGAATTATCGCCAAATAATGGTAGCGTTATTTCCACATGATGATGAAAATATTCCTACATATAGGTGGAATTATTGCCAAATAATGGTAGAGTTATCCCCACATGATGATGAAAATATTCCTACATATTGGTGGAATTATTGCCAAATAATGGTAGAGTTATCCCCACATGATGATGAAAATATTCCTACATATAGGTGGAATTATTGCCAAATAATGGTAGAGTTATCCCCACATGATGATGAAAATATTCCTACATATAGGTGGAATTATTGCCAAATAATGGTAGCGTTATCTCCACATGATGATGAAAATATTCCTACATATAGGTGGAATTATTGCCAAATAATGGTAGAGTTATCCCCACATGATGATGAAAATATTCCTACATATAGGTAGAATTATTGCCAAATAATGGTAGAGTTATCCCCACATGATGGTAGAATTATCCCCACATAATGGTAGGTATCCTTACATAACTTGACAAAAAAAACAATTGTTAATTATGCAAATCAGGAGTATAAAATAACCAAGATCAGGACAATCAGTATGTTGAATGATATATTTCTACATACATGTACTTTTGATCATACATGTAAACTTGATGATAATTTCAAGTTTAGTGATAGTCATTAGCAAAAAATACCATAATTTTGAATTTATATTTGTTTACACTCCTGTGAGAAAAGCTTTATGAAGGACAATTATTGAATTAACAATAGCAGAAGTGAGTAGTGGAAATAAAAAAAAGACTTCTCCAGTTGATTAGACATATGTGATGACGTAAATAGGATCACTATTACAATACGTCATCACATTATTCCACTTGAAAGAACTGAAAAACAACATATAATTTACAAAGAAAACAGATTATTTGTACAAAGAAATTGAGGACACAAAAAAAAAACTTCCTAATACAATGTGTTATATATTCACATCCAATTCAAAGCCATCATTTTTTGACATTTTTTTTTATGAAATGCATGGCTACAATGAACCATCGAAAAAAACTGACCAATCAGAACAGTTCAAATGGGCCATCTGACTACAGTGACCAATCAGAAATGTTCATCCTTGAGTAGAGATCAGAACAACAAACACCAAGTCAGTACATTTGTTAGTACTATGCTATTCTCATTTTTGATACTTGCATATGTACATCTTATGTGCATTGGCAAAACGCTACCGGAAATACTGAAAATGTTTTGCAGCCTCATTTCTGGCCATAAATTTCCACCATTGGAATGAAGTAATTGGTAATTAGGTATTCAATATGATAGGTAGTGAAAGGTAGTAAACTTGGGAGAATTTTAAAAACAAAAATCTGCAAAGCGAAAAACGTTATCCAAAAAAACACATAACTCAATACTAAATGAAGGGAAAAATAATGATCTAATGATAAACCGCTCAAGTTATCTAATTTGCATAATTAGTGATTTTAAAATGCAGTGTTAGGTTGAACAGAACATCATATAAGGCCAAAAAAATGACAACTTATGTTGCCCTCAAGATTTTTTTTTTTTTAAACTCGTGAAAACTAAGGGTATTGTAAATGGCCGAAGTATATGGGAAAAAAAACATCACCCGATATTTCATATTTTTCGGTCGCTCGCTGAAGGCAACAAAACAATTTTTTGGCCTAACGTAGAACAGAAAACAGCATAAACCTGCAAAGAAACACGGCTTTCATTGACTATTGTAAAAACACCTGTTGACTC